TTATTCCGATGCCACGGTCGATTAATACGAGCGAAGATCGACCATCGGCTGTTTTGGCAGCCCACATAATCACCATGGCCGGCGCTTGAGTTCTGGTGCACATTTTTAGCTGACCTCTTTGACAATTAAACATGATCATTTTGTTTTTTTACAAACTGCGAATGTTTTCTCATCGGAGAAAACCAAGTCAGTTCACCACTTTCGGCCAAGCGAAGCAACTCTTAAGCTCTTTTGAGTCTATTTTCTTTCTGTTACGGCGTAAGTTCTTGCATTTTTTTTTGGAATTTCAATGGTTTTACCACGAGCGCATTTTTCAATATTTGCCGAATGGAATATTGCGATATGTTTAGCTCACGAGAAATTTCTCGGCCACTGCGACGCTTGAATTCCATCACGAAGAACTTTTTTCTGGAAAATTCTTACCAAAATGCTTTTGTACGTTTGTAAACAATATAATGAGCTGTCACTGGAATAATGTCGGATGAGTGGCTTAGAAATGACAGCTGTCTGAAATTGGTTGCAGTTTTTTAATCTCACATGGTTTAACTAAAATGCTGGGATTCCAAGGAATCTTAATTTGAAAATTTCGAAAAATGATGAAGAGGGGGAGGTTGTCCCTCTTTTTAGGTCTTCGAATTTCAACACTGTTTTTATAATCTATTTAGTTCCTACTATTATTGAAAAACTTGAATTTTTCCGCTCAGTGTATTTTTTTAAAATCTGCATTAATTTTTTATTATACATTTGTTTCAAATTTCGTATATAAAGTTCATACTGGGTACTAAAGCCTATGACAGAATATTTGTTTTATAGGACCACGTCTAACGGGTTTCATTTGAGCGGTATTTTTCGACGAAATTATTTGAAATTATTTCAAATTCCTTAAAAATGGTGGAAAGTATTAAAAGTTCGGTCCTTTTTTACTTGCTTATTTTAGAAATATTAATTTTCATTTTTGATTTTAAAAATAAATTTTCATTTAAATATTCTCGAACTTATTTCGCTCATATTTTCTTTCTAAACGCCTTACCAAACTTTTTTTAATTGCTCCCCATTGAAATGACGTTGTCGTTTTTCCTTCAAAATACCTTCAAACAGCTACTGTTTCATGTCTCGTATCATGCTACACCACAGAATTTTGTGGACGACCAGTTTTGTCCACTTCGGATGTTATGTGTGATGATAAAAATGACTGAATTCTTTTTATTTTTCACTTAAAATTTAGATCACGTTTTTTTGGCATTAACAATTTATGATGTCTTCAAGCTCATTATAACTTATTTGCTGGGCAAGATTTTTCCGGTGCCCGCATCATCATCATCATATCAACATCATCACCATCATCGTCAAGGCTGGCAGGAAGGCGTTTTTGACAAAATGATGTTCAGGTTACTTTTCATTACACATTTTAATTTTTTTTTTTGGTTTTCATCGGAGATAGTAGGTCACACACAAAAAGTAAACACGAACAAATTAACGAAAAAATATGATGTTTTAAAGGGCCTACGTGTAAAAGCGTCAATGACTATGAGATCTTTTTTCCCTTACCGGATTTTGATAAGAAAGTTGGGTGTTGCATATGTGTTATTGCTAATTATCACATTATGAAATGTTTGTTGTATATAAAATAACGGAAATCTCAGGAAAAAAATTTAAATAGTTTTTGGTAGCAATTTTGAAGTTAAATTCCACAACAATGTGCAAGTAATTACTTTCTACATGAAATGGCAAAAATTTGGAAAAATTATTTGCTTTTATGTGGGTTTGTTTCAAACAAAACCAGTAAGAAAAGTTCAAAAGTCGGGCGGGCCAACTATAAGATGCTCTACAACAACATGCGTATTTAGTATTATATTGGGAAGTTATATGAAGTAGATCATACCAACTATGAATCTTACTTGAAAGCGCAACATGGTTTAAGAGTAGTCACACTTTGGGAACTATATGCATATTTGAATCGATTTAAAAAAAAAATTGAGGGAGGCTATTGTACCTCTAGTACCAAATAACAGTGATGTATAGCGACTTCGATAAGAATTATATTAGAGAAAACTTCATTGAAGCAATATGTATACCGGACCGAGTTTCACCAAATGGAAAAATTCTGTTGAATATGAAGAATCTATCCAATTCCGGCTGATATTATATATGGTGAACAAAAATCGTCAAATCGGATGAAAATGTATATCGAAGATATATAAAAATCAGAACCGATCTAGATAAAATTTGGCAGAGGTATTTTCGAGCTGCATCTGATGTTCGGTTCAAATATCATTGTTGCAGAGTGCATATTATGCATGTAAGGGACTTTAATACCATATCAGATGATCGAATATATGGGAGATATAGATAGATCTGAACCGATTTTCACCAAAATTTGAAGAACTTGCTTCTGGGCTGAATTTAGTCGGAATTGCCAAAATTCAGTCCATTTGAGCTGATATTAGCCATTTGGTACACAATAAACTTGAAATCGGATAAAGACATATATGAGAGCTATATTAAAGACTGATCAGATCTCGATAAGATTTGACTGAGGTATTCTTGAGCTACATAGGTTATCTGGTACCGATTATCATTCTTGTGGAGTGCATATTACGCATGTGAGGGACTTAAAACCCAAAATCTAATGAAACGTGAGAGCTATATCTATATCTGAACAGATTTCAGCAAATATGTACTTGCTTGTAAACTGAATTCGGCTGGATTTGCCACAATACAGGTCATTTGGACTGATATTGGACATTTGCACAATCAACCTGAAATTATATAAAGATGTATATAGAAATATATGTGAGCTATAGCTATATCGAAACCGATTTTCACCAAATTTTATGTACTTGCTTCTAGACTGAATTCGACAGATGTGCCAAAATTCAGGTCATTTTGACTGATATTGATCATTTGGTGTACAATTATCCAGAAATCGGTTGAAGATATATATGGGGGCCATACCCCTTGGAAGAGCATTGTCTATATAGGTTCACTATATCGCATATCTCCCATATAACGGTACCCCCGATATTCGACATTTTTATGATTTTAGGGACGTTATTCGCAGGAGCTTTTTCATATTTTGAATTTAGAGTTCGTAATAGAAACTACAGTCTATGACAGTAAATTGTCTAAGCAGGTCCAAGTCTTCGTATAGGCACCATGTATCAGTGCCTCCCTATATTCGGTATTTTGACGATTTTAGGTACAATGTTCAAAGAAATTGTGTGAAAATTTGTATTTGAAATTCCCGTGGTAGAAATTTGTCTATGCAGGTCCATGTCTTCGTATAGGCCCTCGACATCGGTACCTCCCTATATTTTATATTTGATGTTCCCAATTGGTACTATGCAGATCCACGTTCTCGGATAGCCCCAAGATATCGGTACCTCCCTATATGTGGTATTTCGATGATTTTAGCTACGTTTTCAACTGAATTGTCTGAAAATTCACACAAGAAGTTCTTTCTAAGCACTTTAGTCACTGGAAGAGAATTGCCCTTGCAGGTCTACGATCTCGTATAGCCGCCATATATCGGCACATTTCTATATTCTGTATTTTTACGATTTTAGGTACAATAAACACCGGAATTATTTGTATTTTAAGTTCCTAATGGGTACTACGGCCTATGACAGAAAATTGTCTACGCAGGTCCAGGTCTTCGTATAGCTCCAATATATAGGTACCCCCTATATGCGATATTTTGATGCTTTTAGCTACATTATGCTGGATTTTCGTATTTGAAAATTTGTAATGGCCTACGACAAAAGTTGCCTATGCAGGTCCATGTCTTCGTATAGACCCCAATATAACGGCTATATTGGGTATTTTTAAGATTTTAACTGAATTTCCAACAAAAATTTAGATTTGGTTGCAAAAAGAAAATCAATATACTGTAAATTCGAAGGCACCGAATCTACATGGGAAAATTTTAACTACAAAATTAAAATACGCAAATTTTATACAGAAGGTGAATATTGAATAAGCATTTTCATTATGTGTCATAAGTGTGGTAGCTTAAATCACTATTACTTTTTGAATGGAAAAAGGTGTGGCGATCAATGTATGGTCATTTCGATAAATCTTTTTATTGCTGAACTATTAGAGACTCCCATTTGACTTAACCTTGTTTCGTCATTCTGACTCGTGTTTGTTGCTTAAGTCTTTTGATTATCAGTTCAAATCATACCAAAAAAAAAAAAACATTTGTACACATTATGCAGTTACAACGTTCAATCACCCCCACGCAAAATAAAAAAAACAGAGGAGACACAAAGACATGAATTGAAAATTCAGTCACCTCAGACAGTCACCAAAAAAAAACACGAACACACACATACACACGAAAATTAGGTGTTTTTCAAGCATGTCATCTTCAACATCATTCAGCCATTTATTAGCGAAAGTGTGGTGACTCTTCCAGAAAAAAGAAACAACGACAACATTATTATCACTGCCATCATCAAAGGCAACAACAATAGCAACAACAGCGGCAACAAAATGACTACAACAATACCAATCATGTCAATAGCAATTCTTTGAAAGCAACAGAAAACTTTAATGAATTATCGCTGAATGCAATGTGGGCGGTAGCAGCGGTAGGCTTGTAGGCGTTGCATATGACAACAGCAGCAACAAAAAAGAAAGAAATACTACTTTTCCGCACCAGCACGGCAAGAGCGTACAGGTACTGAAACTGGCTTAAAGTATGTCGTTGCCACCACCATCGCCGCCACATAACCGCCTTAAATTGCGTCAATAAACTTGAATTAATGGATGAGATTTCAAAGACACACAGCCATCTAAGTAAGTCTAACCACACACTCAAACACACACAACCTGTTACGATAGATCGCAAATCAGCAAAAAACCAAAAACAACAAAAATAAGAAACGAAAAAACGCTACAGAAACGAAACACCGACTGGCAAGGAACGACAATGTCGTTAGGCGTTAATTTCTAACAACTTCTTAACATTAACCCAAAACAAGAAATGTCTAAAACAAGATGAAGTATTTTTTGTTGCTTTTGTTGTGTTTTGAGATTCAAAAACGTTAAGATAGATGGTGATGATCGTCATCTTCATCATCATCATGACTCGTCGTTGTTGTTGAGGCTAAGACTGCTCTTGAACATGTTCCACAGCGAACATCTGCCGGAGAGAAAAATAAACACAAACACAAGAGACATGAAATAGAAACAAAATAAGCCGCCTCGGAAAGTAAATTCCATTAAGGAATTTCAGCCAAGCCAACAATGGAGGCTTCAAATAATTGAGTGGGCTGCAAACCAAATACTCAAAGTCATCCAACCTCAGCCCTCGATGATGATCATCAATAATATTTTCTTGCTTCTAAGCCATATTCGACCTTTAAGAGAGCATCAAACATTTTGCTTAGAGCCAACATTTCTATGTTAACTTAACATTACCACTACCTAGACACCACACACCAACTCCACTGTTAGCCACTCTCCCAGGCTGTTAACGGTTTGATGGCAACCAAACGGTTGGTTGTTACCAACATTGCTGGCCAACGTTCAGTTTGTTTTTAGCGCTCGTGCGGTACGGTTGGATTTTCTGGAAAGCAAAATCTTTGATGGTTTTCTTTCCAACTAACACTAGTGTCTTAAGATCAAACACCATTTGCTTGAAAAAAGAAAAAAAAAATAATATAACAGAAAATTTGAGACGGATCTCGAATTTGTGAAACTAAAAGAAATAATACAAAGGAATTTTAACTACTAAAATAAAGTTGCATGAAATCTTACTAATATTGTGTGTGAGCTTAAACAAAAAAATATATTTTTGCAAGAAAAAAATAAATTTTCTTTCCAAGTGAAAGTTTGCTTAGGCAAACAATCAACAAGTTGGAAGTTAGTACAGCGAAATATTGAATAAATATTTATTTATTTAATTTTGTATCTCCATTTTTTTAGTTGAAAAGAAAAAAAAATTAACAGCAACAGAAAAATATTTCAATTCATAAAGTGGCAGATAAGTGATAAAATTTTCTCAAGAATAAAAGAAGAAGTATAAAGTGTTTGTTTGTGAACCCACCAGCCAAAAAGAAACACACGCCCAAGAAACGGCCGAGCAAAAGAATTTTTGTGGATTTTTTTCTTGTCTCCGTTGTTGGTATCTAGGCTGCTGTTCAAGCTGGCAAAAAAAGCATGTACTAATTTTGGATTATTTTCGTTAACAAAAAATGGTGAGCTATATTTTGTGAAATTTTTTAAAAATACAAGAAAAGGCTGGAATTAGTTTATAATTTCTGGAAAAATAAGGAAAAAAGCCTAAAATATATAATTGAAATGAAGAACCCACCAAAAAAGGACGATTAAAGGTGCTTTAAAAAAATAAATAAAAAAGGCATAACCAAAATTATTTTATAAACTTTTTAAATATATATTTTTGATGTGCTTCGACATTAAAATATCAAGAGTACCATCGGAAAAATAATAAAACAATAATTTTTAAATGGCAAAAATATATAATTAAAATAGATGAACCAAAAAGGACTTTAATGGAAGTGCTATTAAAAAATTAAAATTCATTTAAAATATTATTTTGGAAACTTTTAAAAGAAACTGTCAAAAGAAAAATTAAAAATATATATTTTTGATGTGCTTTAAAATGAAAAAACCAAGAGTATTTTCTAAAAATAAAAAAACAGTAATTTTTTAATGCCTAAAATATATAATTGGAAACAGAAGCACCAATCAAAGGAGGACCTACATGGAAGTTCTTTTAGGAAATCCAAAAAAAAAAAATAATTAATTAAATTTCATATATAATTTGACTTGGAAACTTTTTTATGTGGACATTGCCAAAAGGAAATCTGAAATTATTCATTTTTGATGTGCTTTGCATAAGAAAAAAATTTTAAATAAAAATTCCAAGAGTGTCATTTTCAAATCGGTGCCATTTTTTAAATATCATAAAAAGGGTGAAATTAGTTTTTAAACAAAAAAATAATAATGATAATAACATAAATATAAAATGCAAAGACTCGATTGGCAAAATACACAGTGTTATCTGGACAAATGCAATCGAGGATAGTACAATATATTATTGTTAGTAAATCATATGAAGTTTTTTATACAAAAATAAAATATATAATATTTTAAGGAAAAAAATATAATACTCAGAGCATATAAACACTGAGGCACTCAGTAAAAATTGTATTGAAAAAAATTATTTTTTTTTAAAACTAAAGAAGGTTTCATTTTTTTTTTTTTTTGCAACCTCGTAACCTAAAATAACATTTTGTCTAATTTTCATTTGGGATTGTCTTTATCTAAAAATTTCCAAAAAAGAGTCACCAAAAGTCATTCTGATTTCTAGCGGATATCTCTATTGACATTAAAAAATGTGTTTCAATCCGGGATTTTATCAGTGAAAAATTCCTGAAATCCTCAAAAAGCTAAAAAATTAATTTTGATTTTTTTCTCAAATCACAAGTAGACATGATCAAGTATCAACAAAACTTTTGTCAAAAACTTAAAAAAACTGTTTAAATTTTTGAATGGATTTAACTTTAACTTAAATCTCCCAGAAATGCAGACGCCAAAAACTTCAATGTTGTATAGACAAAAATCTTGAAAAATAGTGGAATATTTATCAAAATTGAAAAAAATCGATGTATAAGTTTTTGAACATATACATTTTAAAGCATATTTTTTACAGAAAAAACACCTTATTAGTGAACTTTGCCTAAAATCTTCAATAAGCCAAATTTGAATAAATTGATGTTTTCAAAGCTAAAGAAGGCTCAAGATTCTTGTTAAAAAAAAATATTTCAGTTTCTTATTGAATTTTTATTGATTACAAATCACCTAAGATACCGCTTTCCAAAAATCCATATTTCTCCGGACAATTAGCTAAGCTTGTGAAAATTATTTAACAAGAAATATCAGTTAAATGTGCATTTGGCTTTGGACATATAAAGAAAGAAAATACCTTATTGTTATTTAGGCTTAAAAAGAAAATGTTTTTTTTTTTCAAACCTGACGGAGAATCTTTTTTTTTTTTTTTTGATAAAATTGTTTTTATATCCAAAAATCCATATTTCTCCGGATAAATAGCTTCAGAATTAATAAAAATAATTTGATCAAAAAGATCTGTACTTTGGCTTTGGACATATTAAGATGAAGTCATATTTTTATAAAAAATACCTTATCTTAATCCAGGCTTAAGGAAAATAAATGTATGTAAATGTAAACCATTTTTTTTTCTTCTTGAGAAAATTGTGCTCAAAACCAAAAGAATATTTTTTTTAATTTTACAGGGGCATTTCTTAAACTATTAGTCTGGATTCATATTTGAGGAAAATGGCTATCAATCCCTCAATAAACAAAACGTATTCCAAAGAAACAAACTTCGTATTTAAAAAAGCGAATTGACAAAAAATTAAATATTTACAAAATACTTTTCATTTCATACAGCTCAGAAATACCTCAGCCAAAATTTTATCAAGATCGGTTCAGATTTTGATATAGCTTCCTTTCTATATAGTTATCCGAATATTCATCTTCATTCTGAAAATGAATCTTATTTCCAATAAAAAGAGTGACCAATTCTGAAATATTGAATTTCAGTTATAAACAAATCATCTGGCAAAATAAAAAAAAAATATCCTCGTAAATAAATATTTATAAAAATTAAGAATTTGTCGAGCATTTTTGAATAAAATTCCAAACCTAGCCAGTACCTACAAAATCCTTTTACTAGATTTCTAAACCGTTATTTAGAAATAAATTTAAGCTGAAATATCGACTCACCTATTCCGGATCTTGAATTTTAGCTCCAAGCTACTTAAAATATAAAAAATAAAAACATATCTTGGTAAATTGCGAAACATAAATATATTAAAAATATATCGAAATTGAAAATCAAAATGGTTTCAAGTCGCAGGACCATTGAAATTATTTGTAATTGTATTTGTAATATTCAAAAATTTTTATAAAATGAAATAGGGAGAGAGAAAAGGCACATGGTTATATAATGGCCTTTTTAAAAAAAAATTGAATTGAATTGAAACTTAACCGAATTTTAATAAATTTAAAAATTCCAATATACCACAAAAACAGGAAGTACGTGTTGCGATAAATACAGGATGAGATAAGAAAACTTCAACAAAGGCAAACTCCATAATTTTTACATTTTTTTTAAATTCATTGAATGAAAGCAAAAAATGTCACATTTTAGGATAAGTTTAGATTTGTTCGAATTGAACGAATGGTACGAATTATGGCCTTCAAACGGCCAATGAAAACGTCACACGCTGCCCGAATGTTGCTCTGCGTAATTTGGTAAGTTCTTGAACTTTTCGGAATTTCAATGGCTTACCCCGAACTTATTTTTCAATATTTGCCAAATGGAATATTGCGATACGTTCAGCTCACGAGCCATATTTCGGCCACTGCGACGTTAGTTTCGATCAAGTCGCTTCTTTACTTTTCGAACCATTTCTGCTGATGTTGCTGTTTTTTTCCGTCCACTTCCTTGACGTCGGGCTACGGGCTAAATGATGGAGTGCTCTAACGATAGCCACTTGTGGTATTCCAGCCAAATATAAATAAATCACTCTATCACGCTTGAATTCCATCACCAATAACTTTTTTTCTGGAAAATTCTCGCCAAAATGCTTTTGTACGCTTGTAAACAATGTAATGAGATGTCACTGGAATACCTTTAACAGCTGTAGGACGAGTGGCTTAGAAATGACAGAAGTCTGGAGTTAATTGCAGTTTTTTCATATCACACTGTATATCTTCATTTTTGTTGACAAAAAAATTGGGGCTACTATCGGACACTGAATTATTATTAAAATTTTATTTATTTTTCTGTTTTTTTTTTCTTTCCATCTTTTGTATATATTTTTTTTTCCACTTGAACCCCCAAAATGTTATCAAAATGCATTTCTGTATACGCCCCTGGCCAATTGAGTTGTAGATTGCGACTTGTGAGTTTAGGGTTCAAACATATTATCCCCAGCTTCTATTCCACATCACGTTTTACAAATTCTAAAAATAATAAAATTTCAAATATAAGTTTCGCGAATTCCATATCCCATTGTAATTTAAAAATTATATTTCAAACAATCTTAATAATGATAATGAATAAGTATTATATTGGCAAAATATGCATTTGAATATTTAAAAATCAAAAACAAAAATAATTTTCTAACAATATTTGAAAAGACAGGTTTCTGAATTTCACAAAAAAGTGAAATGTTTTTCAGTTACTGTAAAGCTAAAAAAAAAAGCTCATCCTCAAACACGTTTTATTGGATTTTTTTCAATTCATTCAAATAAAAAAAATGTAGAGATTAATTCTATTGCCTTAACCCAGTAAGTGAATGTAAATGTGCTTATCACATTGAATATGAATGCTATATATAGACAGCTTATTATTTTGATTTTTTTTTTCAAAAACTTACTAAAAGCAGCTTTAAATAAATTATAATATTTTATATGTGATTATGATGATATTGAAATAAATTAAATAGAATCTTCATTAATTAGTTATAAATTTAATTACAAATCTCTTTTATATGAGATGTACTTCTTTCCCTTGTATGTGTGTGGGACTTAGAGATAACAACCACAATTATAATTGTTGTACAAATCAGCTGTATAAGGCTGCGAAAAAAAATTCCAAATTCAAAATCCCACTATTAAATCTGTCAGTGACCCATTACTTGCTTATTATTACCCAATCCCCAACATCAGACAATAACCTTTGATGGGATTTTTTTTTATTAGTTTCTAACTTGCTCTCTCCCAAAACTCCAATGCACTTGCTGTGAAAAAATGGCATTAATTAGTTTAAGCTTTCCCATCCTCATCATAATCAATGTTATGTGAAAAAAACAAACGCCACGAAACTTAAGCTTAACAATAACGTCATACAAACAAACGCTTGATAGCAAACAGAATTTTTATTAATTCAAGATGAGTAGCTGCAGCTACAATAAGCTGGTGCCACAATTACGACAAGGGCATTTGTTTTATGATGTCAGCAATATAAACAAATTGTAAATCTGGATAGCTTTGTGAGAGATCTTGATTTTTTTAGAAATAAAAATAAACATCAATCAATTGCAAAAATGGGGTTTGGGATGCAAATAAATATATTTTCATGAAAAAAATGGGATTTAGAATGCGAAGCAGATGCCGCAAAATGATGCAAATTATCGAAATGCCT